AACACGTTGTGACAAAGTCTATTGAACATTATATTAAATAAAGGAATTATTATTATAATTCATAAATCTGTCTTTGAAATTGTATTGCTAATAATACATTGCTCATAAACTTACCTTTGACTTTGTATTGCTAATAATATATTATTCATATACTTATCTTTGATCTCGTATTGCTGATAATACGAATATTATATCTTATATTTGACTTCAAAGATTTAAAGACATTTTTAATACATATATTACATTTAACATTGAGATTTTGAGAACTCTTTTTAGCAGTCCAGTTATTACGTTAAAAGAATACAACTGTTACCAACCTTTAAGTGATTTTTATAAGTACTTATCATACTTTAATTTATATTCAGTCTAAAATCATAAAGTATTATTAAGATTGTGAATTGTCATTAAGACATTCGAGTTTTTCTCTTTGAATATTATAAATACTTTTGAGTATTTTAAAGCTCCATCAAAACAGTAACAATATATTTATTTTATTAAATAGTTAAAATAATTTTAAAAATTTTCTTATTTAAAAATAAACAAGTAAAATATTAATATTTTTTTTATTAAATTAATATAACTTTATAATAATATTGAAAAATTATAAATAAATAATATAATTTTATAATAATATTGAAAAATTATAAATAAATAATATAACTTTATAATTAAAACAAGAAATTATATATTTTATCAAATTATTATTAAATAATTGTATTTTTTTATTTTATTGAATATATTTTTATTGAACAAATTTATTATTAAAATTTTGTTAAATAATTAATTAATAATTATTCAAAAATAATTAGTTTAAATAATTATTTCAATATATATTTAAATAATTAAAAAAGTAATATATATTATATAATATTAAGTAACTATAAAAATAATTCTCTCTCTATCAAATAAGATTTTTATTATATTTAATTAGCTAATTATTTTTAATTATGTAAAAGGTTAAAATAAATTAATTAAGTTCTCTATTAATTCAAAAATGAGTTTTTAATATAATATTAATTTAATTTTTTTTATTATTTTAATTTTGTTTAAATTAGATTTAGTTTTATTTAGTTTGTTAATAATTGCTCATTTTAATTATAAAATTGTTTTTATTTAATTTATTTTAATATGATTACTTATTTTAATTGTGAAATTATTTTATTTAAATTTATTTTAATTTGTTTATAATATTTTAACTTAATTATAATATAATTTTATTAATAAAAATTGAAATTTTTGTTTTATATAAAAGTTTTTAATTTTAATATTTAGTTTTATATATATATATAATATTTAACAAAATTATGGAATTATACATGCAATTTTATTAATAAAATATAATAAAAATTGAAATTTTTGTTTTATATATAAGTTTTTATTTATTTAACATATTTTTTTCTAACAAAGTCATTCTAATTACAAAAATTTTTTATAATTAAAATGTAAAATTAATTATAAAAAATTTTTGCAATAATATTGCAATTAGAATAACTTTATCAGAAAAAATCTAAAAATCCAGAAAAAATATAGGTTAAAATATAATTTATAATTTTTGTTTTGATATAAAAATAAAAAATATTTATTAATAAAATTGAAAACTTTTATATAAGACAAAAATTTCAATTTTTATTATGTTTTATTAATAAAATTTTGTTAGTCATTATGTTTTAATATATATTTTTTTTTGGATTTTTAGATTTTATCTAATAAAGTTATTTTAATTACAAAGTTTTTGCAAAAATTTTTTTAATTAATTTTACATTTTAATTATAAAAAATTTTGCAATAATTTTGCAATTAAAATAACTTGTAATTTATAACCTTTATTTAAATAATGAATATTTATTAATAAAATTGAAAACTTTTATATAAAACAAAAAATATTTTTTTACACAATCTTTATTTTACATCAATTTTTGCTATCACTTTGTATTATTTTGTAATCAGAAAAAATTTTCAAATTAAATTAGAAAAGAATATATGTTAAAATTTAATGAATATAATAAAAATAAAAATAAAATTTCAATTTTATATTTATTAATAAAAAAATTATAATAAAAAGTTTTGCATTTATTTTGTAATAGAAAATTTTCTTTGTATTAAAAAATAAATGTTTATTTAATTAATTTTGATAAGAATACTGATAAGAATAATAAGAATAATAATTTTCATAATATAATTTTTCAATCTCACATAACGATAATCAATTGAACTTTCAAATATATCAATACGTAGCCTTAAACGGCAAATTATTAATTCATCCGGCAATCCCGGGTAATTATGTAATTGCGTCAGCTAATAGTGAATCCACCAGAAAACGCATGATAAGACTCGAACCTTCGAGCAACGGAAAGTCATCTATTTCTGGAAGCTTTCGTCAAACGTTACTGATACATTGCAGATAAAGATTTTTATAATTAGCGAGTACTAAAGTATCGAGGGTTGACAATGAAATTTAACCTAGTAAAAAAAGCTCCGGTTTTTTTTTCCTAAAAAATTATACTTGTATATATTGATCAAATTTCGTATTTTTTTTTGCTGTTAAACTTCATTTGAAATATACTTAGACTTTTTTTATAATCATTGTTAAGCTTTCTACTTGCAATAAAAGCTTAATCGCATAATGGTAAAAGACACGAAGCTTTACAACGTTCTGGAGCTTTCTCCAGAATGCTCCGAAAGTGACATAAAAAAGGCATATAAAAAATTGGCCTTAAAATACCATCCAGACAAGGTAACTAGTTAACAATGCTCTTTTTCGGTATATTTTCGCAAAGTATGGCAGTATCAAACATGATCTAGAGTAGAGTCTCAAATTAAGTGATTAGACAAGAATCGGAATAGATGATATATGTTTTTGGCATATGTATATGCTTTTTTGCTCTATCGGAGTGTTTATACTTATCTGGCATAACGTATAAGTAACAATACCATATTAATTTGGCATAATATATAAATATTAATTCATTATCTTTTCCTATGGTGAATTGATTTAACAAATAGAATCCAGACGCTGCTGACAAATTCAAAGAAATTGCACATGCATATGATATCCTTTCTGATAGTGAGAAACGAGCGAAATATGATCGATTTGGTGAGGAAGGTATTGGAGAAGGAGGAGGAGTATCAGCTGAAGATCTTTTCAGCAGCTTTTTCGGGGGAGGTTTCTTCCCAGGAGCTCGATCCGCACGGACCGGACCAAAGAAAGGAAAAGATTTGAATCACGTCATCAAAGTCTCTCTTGAAGAATTATACACAGGAAAAACCACTAAATTATCGCTCAATAAGACGGTCATTTGCCAAAAATGTGAAGGTCGTGGTGGAAAGAAAGGAGCAGTGAAAAAATGTGATACATGTAATGGAACAGGTGTGCGAATGATTGTACGACAATTGGGACCAATGTTACAACAAATTCAACAATATTGTAATGATTGTAATGGCGAAGGGACTGTAATTCGTGAGAGTGACAAATGCAAAAGTTGCAACGCTAAAAAGACAGTAAATGAACGAAAGGTTTTAGAAGTTCATATTGACAAAGGAATGAAAAACGGACAAAAAATTACGTTCGCTGGCGAAGCTGATCAGAAACCTGGTGAAGAACCTGGCGACGTAATTATTGAACTCTCAGAGAAACCCCATGATCGATTCATTCGAAGGGGTGATGATTTATTCTATACCGCAAAGATTGATCTATTGACTGCGTTAGCTGGTGGTCAATTCTCTGTTAAACATTTGGATGATAAGGTTCTTTTGGTGAAAGTTCCGCCTGGTGACGCTTTAAGGCCAGGTAATTAATTGCATTGATTGTTATTGGAATAATAAATATGATAAAGGTAATAATACTATAATATACTTTTTATATAGGTCAATATAAAGCTCTCGCTGAGTATGGTATGCCTTCATACCGTCATCATAATTGTGGAAATTTATTGATCAAATTCGATATCGAGTTCCCTGAACCAAATTGGACTTCCCAAGAAACCATCGTTAAACTTGAAGAAATTCTTCCTAAACGTCCAAGACTTGATCTTGATATACAGAATGATAGTGTAGAAGATGTATCATTACAAGAATTAACGGTCGAAGAGGAACAAAGAGCTGCACACATACTGACAAATGGTGCTCCCGAAGAAGATGATGATGACGAAGAACATCGTCACGGGGTTCAATGCGCTCAACAATAAATTATATAAGATTATATATTTATGGAGAATGTATTGGGTGTGTCAGATAGTCGAATTACTCGGTGAATTATTATTTGAAAAAGAAGGATCAAAGGAAGCAATATAAACATTCGGGGAGTTGAACCCTATATCTATATAATATCTCTCACTTAATATACAAACAAATGTATTTAGATGAAGTCCTAATTTTATAAAAATCATCAAATTGCGAAAATAATTCTTTCCAAGCTTTATACATATACAGCAATTATTTGTAGCTAACGACATGTAGCTATATATCTTTTTTACACGAGCTACTTTCTAACGTTTTATATTGTAATAGTAAGTATGCATGGTTATAAAACTTGTGCATAAAATCTATATCACTCATTGCTTAGTAACGTTAATATTGGTAAGGTGATATTGATGCATAGAAATCTGTTGATTTTAATTTATTATAGAGCCCACCCCATGTATTAAAACATGTGAGCGTTATGTATCTATAAATGAGTTCATATATATACTACAAGTAATACGATAAATATTATATAATACATGTACAATGAATGAATGTGATAATTGTCAATAGTCATGTGGATAATGAATATTTTGTCCAAACATCATAAATTTCATCTGACCCTTGATTTGCCAACACGTGCTCTTCGATCTCATCCAAATCCTCATCAGTAGGTTCCCATCGTAGATCAGTATGGATCCTCTCAAAATCGGATATTTGATCTTTGCAGTGATGATCTTGATGTGAATCAATTCCATAGAATTCTGGTTTTTCTTTGCATTTTCGTAATTCCATTGCTGCTAATAATGTGAGAATTGCTTGATCTTGACGATGATTATCTCGATTACTTCCTTCTGGCGCAATACAATCTTTGACCAGTGCACATTTATACCATGCGTCTATTAATGGCCGAGTTATTATAGTGTCAAAAACTATCATTGCACCGTTACAATTCCTGTAGTTACGGAATCGAGCTGGTTTCACATTGAAATATTGAAATGTTCCGGCATGCGTCCACGCTGGTACTCGACCAGTAGACTTTCCAGACAAAAATCCCTCGTGTATTCGAATATTCTCATAGAGATTCGTTAAAAATTCTTTTCTAAATATTGATCCCGAATCCAACCACGCTACAATTCCCGGAAACTCGTTTGCAATTTCTGTTACAATCCCGGTTTTCCAGGCATACTCGCCACGATTCTCGTTAATATCCCAGAAATCGGGATATTTTGTGTAGTTGAATTGTCGCAGCTCCGTGAAAAAACTTTTGTTGTAAAGATATTTGAGAATAGATCTTTGGTAGTTGAGGAGGCCTAAATCGTAAATTATTATTCGTGGGATGAGAGATTCATCATTTAGCTCGTGTAATGTTTTTTGTGCATTGTAGATCCAACTATGAAGTACGCAAAAATGATTGGAACTTGCTGCTGTAGTGATTGTAAATGGATAATTTCTTTGGATCGTAAGGTCTACGTATGAATTATTGTTATACTCTTGTTCTTCCTCTTTTGGTTCTTGATCAAGATGCTTTGATGTAGGAGCCGTTATATTTGTAGGAGTTAGCGTTGAATTCCCTTCGCTATCAAACACTTGATCAATTTTCCCTATTATTGATTCATTATTCACTTTATTATCATTATTGATGAAACACTTTAGTGTGTCGCATATTCCTTCTAAAAAGAAACATAAATTTGATTAGAAGAATTTTTGTATTGTAAATTTCCGTATAATTGATGAGTAGACGAATCTCGGACACCCACCAGTATACGTTATAAATTATAAATGTGTTATATTTATGTATGAAAACTTCGCATTTACCTATCGAGCTTTTTCCAATCGGCATCCCTTCCTGATTATAGAGTTTCACGGTAAATAGTATTATGAAAGCGAGTGTGAAAAGTAGTAGTATAAAAATTATTTGATATGGTTTTCGTCGAAGTAATGTATTTGTTCGCATTATTGATGTTAATGTGGAGTAAGAAGATTGACGGTTATGAAGAGTGACCATTTTGATGTGCGAAAGTATGATTATGCTTATACATGTAAAGGAAAAGGTAAGGAGGCCGGCTCAGCTTAAACAAAAGTAAAATAAAAATGGGTTATGAATATGAGAAATGTGTGTTGAGAGGGGAGATTAATATGACTAAAGTAATATTATTGAAATAAATATTATATTTTTTATTCACACAATCAAACTATACACGAGACAAAAACTATCTTTTTTTTTAGAATGGTTTCTAATAAATAACAAGTCGAATAAATAGTAAGTTTAAATAAATAACCTGGAGTATTTTTATATTGGTAGGTCAATTGATTCCCATTGTCTCAATATTTATTGGCTGCTGTTTTCGTACTGAATATTACGAGTATTAGCTTATTTTTTTGAAACCAATTATGACCGAAGAAATCGGTTAATATAGACACCATCCTTTCATGCTAGAAAATAATTTGGTTAGTTGCTAATCAGGTGAATTACATGTTACCAGTTACGAGTATGTGCATCGTGAATCCAAATTAACCAAAAAAAGAAATGACGCAGCTTTATTTGATTTTTGCCAAGAGTTTTTGACACCGTATGACAAGAATTTTAGGTGGTTGAAATAAATAATTTTTTTGGTCGATTTAAAATTATCTCTTCGCCACCTTTGTGATTCTTGATTTATAAATTCCGTGCGTTACGACAAATTTGATTGGTTGACCACACAACCAAACAATTTTATATTTAGCAATTTTAGATAAAGACAATAAATATTATATACAGCTATTGTTTCTTATATAAAGTAATAATGTATTTCAAATCATATTTACCTTTGTTATAAACAATTTATTTAGCGTTAATATTTGCTGTATATCGAAATTATTATACATAAAATGTATGTGAAACCCGAGCTAAATTTCTAAAATTCCTGTTATCGAGATTCACTGTATTTTCTCGAGAAACTGCGAACAGTGTTGTACACGGAAGTTGTCCGCGAACACGGAGTATGTCCCAAAGTCCATGCCCGCATCTGTATCTGCAGGACACAGACAAGTCAATCTCAACATAGGCCAGCACTAAGTCCCTTGACTGGAATTAACAAGTTATGTGCCGGCATAATACTAATATACGTATATAAAACGTCCCGAACATAAAAAATGTCATGACACTGTCTGCGAAGATTTAGATTAGATTCATCCAAAAAGACTTGAATCATTATTCGAAAACTATTTTTGCATATCGGTGTTGATAAGCCAATGGGTCTAGGAACACTGTTTTTTTATATGATATATATGCAAATCTGCGTCGCAATGGAATATGGACCAAAGTCTATTGGTTAGTAATCTTTATGTATACTTCGGATCGTTTTTTGAAATGGTTCGGTTTTCTTTTGCTAATCTGGAATTTGACCTGTTTCGGCATAAAATCATGTGAAACATCATTTATTAGATTAATTGGTCGGATTTCTGACCAATAGATAACCCTTATCCCGAAACGGGTCAAATTCCAGAACATATCATTATCGTTAGGATATTACTAATACAGTAAAGTCCAATGCGGCCGTTGTAAAGGATTTTGACTGTATAGATTTAATTAGAACCCTAGCCACGGCAAAAAAAAGTTGCAGATCATGTGATTCCGATCCCGATGCCGACCATCCGCTATCCCTCTTTAAAATTATAATGCATAATATTAAATAAATTTCGGTTGGGTTAGGTTTAAGGTTAGGTTTAGAGTTAAAGTAAAATTTCGCAAGGAACATTTTTTAATTAAATCACAAAAAATAGTTTCATAGGCAAAATTTTAAGATATAAGCTATTTTTCAAAAATAAGCATTCGTTTTGAATTTTTGCATGGTCGGCATCGGGATCGGAATCACATGATCTGCCACTTTTTTTGCGGGTGATACAAGCTTCCCGAATAGGAAAGATGTGGCTAGTAACGATAATTTATCGCTTGGATTAGGGATAAGCTGGAAAACAGATGCTTAAATCTATCTTGGTGTACTAATAAAAAATGTCAGGAAAGCAATTTTATATATAACCTTGATTTAGAACTTCCTCGACATCGCCAACAAAAAATCACGCTCACGTGAGCACGAAAAATTAACGTTAAAGGCTATTTATCGTTCGGATCAGGATATAGGTTAGAGTGGAAGACAGGATTATATGTAAGATTGTCTTCCCGACATTTTTGTTAATGCTTCAAGCCATCTGTTTTCCGTATTTTTTACATTATTCACTTTTTTCATTTTCTTGTATCGGATTTGTTTTGTTGGATTGATCAAAAATTTGCGCATTCTTATTGGTTTGCGTCACTCAACAGGACGTTCTTATTGGTTTGCGCTCACGTGAATTTTTGTTGGCGATGCTGGAGAAGTTAATTATATAGTTACATATCACGTGATGGACCAGGCTTTAAACATTCCCCATTTTTGGATTTGTTACTTTTGAAAGCCATTTGTGTTCTAACAAAAATGTTCCTTGCGAAATTTTACTATATCGATATACAGACAAACCTCCCTAAATGCACCCTCTATAAGTGCACACCCTCTCTAAATGCACAGCATGGCTGGATCCTAGCTTATAAGGCTCTATATATTTTGCCCTCTATAAATACACACCCTCTTTAAATGCACGCTTTACTATGGTCCCAAGAAGGGTGTATTTAGGGAGGTTTGTCTGTATTATGCTCCTGTCTACTATATGCTGTGTAATAACCTTAACCTAAAAAAGCAAATTCATTAGAGTTACATGTAATATTTTATTGACGATGTCTAATAAATTAACTTTTCGAAAAAGGTATCTCTCACAATTGGTCTCTTCAATAATAACCTGTGAAAAATCCATCACGACAATAACGATCTGAACCATTTAGCTCTTTATTCAGCAGCTGCTTTTTTGTCATAATTGCGGATTTCAAAGATGGCACTCGAACAAGATAGTGACGAACAAAATCGTGGTTGATTGTTCGAATTAAGTGATCAAATCTCAACAAATTTCCTTAATTTTTCTATAAAAATCTTTGGAATCTATTTGATCAAAACGAATTAATGCAAAGTGATGAGATCTCATTTTCCAAATTTTAACTAAAATTGGTGAAACTATGTAAAAGCTTTCATCGTTCAATTACCGTATAGTTACGAAATTAAGCATCCTCTAAAAAAAAACAGCATATTCGTAACAAACAAATAACTTTATTAACTCATTATTATCTCCAACGTTTTAATTCGTATCATAAGTCATATACTATTATAAGTCACAGCTAATTTCTGTTTCCTGCCTTAATCCAACGTCCAACCATACTACCGTCAAGTTCAAAATGACTTGCTCTTAGTATAAGTGGCAACTTGTCTCTTTTGCTCAATGGAATATAATTGCAGCTACGTTTGATAATTTGATAATTTTTTACATTTAACTTTTTTTCTTTGTTACGTTTGTCTTGTGTGAAATAGGATTTTAATGTTAACAAGTTTGTTCACATACGATTAGTCAGATGATGACACTACCAGGGTGATGGGAAAATCTACAGACAGATCCGTCATGTGATTTCGATCTGATACCGACTCCGGAAAAGTCTACGAACAGATCTGATTTTATCATGTGGCTGAACTTTATTGAACAAGAAATATTAGATCTGTATATAGCAAAGTCTTGAAATGCAACATTTATATAGCATTTTATTTATTACAAGAATGATTATAAAGCATTCACAAACATCTCATAGATATTCCAAGTATTATAAAATAACGAAATACTTTTTATTATCTCTCTTTGTAGTCTGTTCAAGATTCCATTATAAATTTCGAATTTGACTGTAATCGCAAAAAAATGCGAATCTGTTTGTAAGCAATCACATAATAAAATCAGATCTGTTTTGAGATTGGTATCAAATTAGAATCATATAATAAATCTGTTCATGTAGACTTTTCCAGAATAATTCTCTAAAGTGTGAGTCGTCTAATAATTTTTTGATAATATCAATAATGTGAAAGAATTAGAATCTGAATTAAAATTATTGGCAAAATATATTTATAGTAAAATTTTACAAGAAATATTTTTTAGTTAAAACACAAAAAATAATTAATTTTGAAATACAATGACTTACAAAAGTAATATATCACCTAATTTAAATTTTATTGAGACATAAAAATATATAAATTATATATTAAAATATTCAAGTTTAACATTATTTATTAATATTAATTTTATTATATAATTTTTGATTAATTGAAATATTTTATTTTTAAATAATATATAATTTTTGAAACTATTTAAATATTAATTATAGAATATAAAAATATTTGTTATATTTTGTTCTTTAATTATATTAAAAAATAAAAACAATTATATATTTATTATTTAGAAAATATATATTTTTTAAAAAAAATATTTGTTAAATAACTTGACATAAAAATTTATTATTTTTTTATTTATAAAATAACTTAAATAATACTAAAAATTACTAGCTTTAAAAATATATAAATTTATTTATTAATATTTAAAACATTTTGAATAATTAATTCTTTAGTTTATATTTTTTAAATAGTATTTATTTAATTTGAAAGATTACTACATTTTTAAAAAGAGTTATATTGAATATTTTAGTATATTCTAAGTAAAAAATAATTCAAAAAAATAGGAAAATTCAAAAATTAATTCAAAATATCAATTCTTCAAAAATTGTACAAGTAATAATAATAATAACAATTTGATTAAAAATAAATATTTTAAATAATTTATAAAAATTTAATAAATTTATAATATAAAAGTTTAAAAAGTTTTCTTATAATTTAAAAAATTATCAATTATTTTAAAATATTATTATAATAGATTTTTAGTTAAATATAATAAAATATATAATAATTAAAAATAATTTAAAATTTTAAATTACAATTATTTTTAATATATTTAAAATTAATTAGTTATAAACTTTTATTTGAATAATATATATTAATAGATTTTTAAAACTAAATTTTAATTAATTAATATAAAATATTAATTTTCTAAAAAAAAGTTTAAAATATCTAA